TTTTTTTTTAACCAAAACCGGCCCTAAACGCATCCAAAACGCGTCTAAAACGCGGCACAACCCACTGCACTGCGTGTGCAGAAACCTGACCGGATCTGGTCTGCATTTGGTGTGAATAAGGCCTAAGGGGCCGATTTATAAATCTTCTGCTCAGCCCTACCCTGGGTAAATGCCACCATATGGCATTCCCGCCACTAAATAAAGCCGAGGAGCATAAGAATTTCAGATCTCAGATCAGAGAATTTAAGTGCAACTATCTTACCCCAGAGTCCCAGTTAAACATCTGAGGCTCAATTCACAAAGCAAACACACAAGGATGTTTCCTTATTTTCCAGTTATAAGTCAGTAAATTTATATCTGAAAAAAACCTCACATGGCTGAAAACAGAATGGAGGGAATTTATCAAAACTGGAGCAGAGAAAATCTGGAGCAGCTGTACTTGGCAACCAATCAGCTTCTCTCTTCAGTTTGTTCAGTAAAGATTTAAAAATGACAGAGAGAAGATGATTGGTTGCCATGCACAGCTGCTCCAGTTTTTGTCTGCTCCAATTTTGATAAATTCCCTTTAGGATGGTGTTAAAGCTTTGCTAATTGAGCCTCTGATGTTTTAACTCCCCAGCAAATTATAAAATACCAGGTTTGGGCAGACTGACATCTTCCAGCAGCACAGCTTGATGTAGATGGCACGTAAGGATAGAAGACCCCTCCCCCCCCAGCCAAAGCATTGCTGATCACCCAATTTTACTGAAGGCAAAACACCGGACTGATTCGTTTACAACCTTTCTATCCTTTTGTATATCAGTAGGGAAAATATCAAAAGTAGAATTATATCTATGATTTTACATTTATAACGTATCATTTGTTTCTTAATAATATTTAAAGATATATTATACACATATACAGAAAATAAATATCTACTATACATAAAAGAAAGCAAATATACAAAGAGAAAAAAAATAATAAGGTTTGTGCACATTGCAAACAAATAGTGTTCATTTAAATAATAAAAAAGTAAAATTAAATGTAAAAATATATTTTTTTTTTAAATCAACACAAAATAATTAGGATTTAGAGATTCCACCTTTTCTATTGATTACTTGAATAGGAGATACATTTACTCTTCTAAAACAGCAAACAAATAAAGCTGAACTCCAGGAAAACCAATATTACATGCCCACTTAAATAAATACATGTGATCTTTCTTACCTCCTATCCCATCTTACTTGCCAGTTAGAGCAGTATAGCTTTGTCAACAACCCACCCAAAACCTGCTGACTAGACAATAATGGGATCAGGTACTTTAACTGTTTATTTTTTAAAGTGACCCTGTCAATTTTTTTTTTAACCTGAAACTAGCATGTCCTGCAAGGCATACAGTTTTTACCCACCTGTCTCACTGCCCATGCCACCGGATTCTGCTGCTCTGAAAACGGAAGGTTGCTGAAAGATTTTCTACCTTCAACACTACCAAGAGTGTTGGATGGCACCATCCCTGCCGCACTTTGTGGTTTGATCCTCTGTCACTACAGGACACAGTATTGAGTAGGGAAGGAACCAAAGAATGCAGCAGAGGGAGGATGTGGCCCCCAACACTTCTGGAAGTGTTGAATGTAGATCTTTCAGCAAGCTTCCTTCTCCAGTGCAATGGTGGGGGCAGAAGGACAGTTGGGTATAAATGGTTTGCTCTGCAGAGAGATGCTAGGGTCAGATTTTAAAATCCTAACAGGATCACTTTACATTACATTTAATGTTTTTTCATGATTATAAAGAAATTGGCCTTTTTTTCTGCTTGGAGTTCAGCTTTAATTAAGAAGGCTAAGAAAAAAAAAACAAACAACTAAAAAAATACATAACTGCCTCTTTCTTTCTATTTAACGATTTGCTGGGACCGGTTATAACAGATTGCCATCACTATAATGAAAGAAGTAATAATCGTGAAGGATATTTCTTTTACCCATTTTTCAAGCTGATGTTCAATTATATAATACTCTAATATTACACAAAAAAATACACAAAATTTCCATGTAATTCCTCTCTTTTCAGTAGACTGTCCACTAAATACCTTATACGATAACACACCTAAATGTTATGACTTTAATTTTTCTTAGGCTAAGGCTACACAGGTCCTATTGAAGGAATATTTTAGGTGACTGCTGGGATTAGAATCATGAAATTACCCTCCCAGGGCATACTTAGAGCTCGTTCACCCCATAATGCATGTAGTATATACTATATGTGTGATGCAGTGACTGGCATTTCATTGTCAATTGCAATCCAACACAAATATACAGTAAGCTGCAGCACACCACAATAAAAGGTGCAAATGCGTTTGAAAACTAGAGCAAGACATTTGTTGCGTTTGGGTGCATTCACAGACCATATAAAATTAATGGGCCTGCAGTAGTGGAGCTACTCTACCCAAAACACTTCAGAACAGGTAACTGGTTATCATTTAAAGGACACACAAAAAATTGACTACAATCTTCATCTCTTTCAACTTTCTCATGAGCCTTTTCAATCATATTCACCCTCACTGAATTGGCAAAGTAGGAAGAGACAAAGTAGTATTACTGCAAACCACTAAACAATCAGATTGGAGCACAGCATGAACAATTTTATCTTGTCCAGGTGCTCAGCAGATATTCCAGCAGCAAACGTTACCTTAACGGTAGTTTGATCAGGACAATTCAGCCAAGCCAACAGAGCCTTTTTCCTTAAAGTGAAAGTCATTTTTTTTTTTTAAATGCCCATTGGTAGGCTTTTATGGCAGAAGAGACCATGTACACCTCTTCTGCCATAAAAGCTTCTTCCTACCATTCTGCATTTTGTTTTACATCTGTAGGCAGAGCCGCACATGTGCAGCTCAGTGCACAGACCTGGCATGCCAAGATGAAGTAAGTCCCGTGCACATGCCAGCAGACCGATGACTAGGCTGAGGACCCCAAACCCAAAAGAGAACCGAGCCAAAGAATCGGTGGAGAGGGAGAATAATTGCATTAGAGGGGATCGGTTTTGCAGTTAAGTCTGCCATTATGTGCGGATATGCTGTGCATACTAGCACATTATGACAAAGTTCCGGTTTTTATTTGAGGTCATTTTACTACCGCTTTAGGGCCCCATTCACAACTAATCGGCCTGCACGTACATCTCTATGCTGCGTGCGGGGCCGTACCAAGCAGCTGCCGGGAAGGACAGGTGCTGCGTGGGTTTAGTACGCAGCCCGGTCCTTTTTCCCCTACGCTGGCCCGCCCTGCACGTCCGTAGGGGTGCGGGTGAGCATATTCATACGCCGCCGGAATGGATCCTGTATGCATCCCGGCCAGAAAACCCGCACCCCTACGGACGTGCAGGGCGGGCCAGCGTAGGGGGAAAAAGGACCGGGCTGCGTACTAAACCCACGCAGCACCTGTCCTTCCCGGCAGCTGCTTGGTACGGTACTGTATTTTTGGGAAAAAAAAAGGTCCATCGGTCACCAAGTTCCTGAGACTTCTTAATTTTGTTTGCTGTACATTCTTATGTGCATAAAACAAACTGGATGCTAAAAAGAAAAAGAATGTAAATCTTGTATAATGACTACGTGGCTACGTTTAAATTGCAATTTAATGCACAGGTCCAAGAAAGCCTCATTATGAACAGGGTGTTGTTCAAGCAATGGGTCATGAAATTCACTAAAACATATTATTGAAAGATGACTGAATAACCCAACTAAAAGTATACCATTCTATGACACAACACTAAGAAGGTCTATTGACAGACTCGACTTACAAAACTTGGTGGAGGGCCAAACCTCAATGGAAAATAGATGCGGACTACACTTTATAGCTATATTCAGGTTTTATACTTTGCTTGGCCTTGATAACTGTAAGAATGTCCTACACAATTCCTGCAATTACAGACCATTGCTTTAGGTCCATTTAAGTTGCTGTGAGTGCTACTTAACATTCCTGAGCTTAGCCAGGAGGGGCTGCATGACGCGATAAGAATATAATGTTCACCAAGCATAAAATATGGTATGACATTATCAGCTTCTAGCTCATGTAAACCATGTGACCAATACTCAATCAAGAATTCAATGGGGATAATTGATACTACAATAAATAATATTATTAACCATTTGCAGTCTTTGGGTAGATTTATGTCCTCTGAATAATCATGGCACACTGCTAACAAGGACTCTAAATGAAGAGGTTCCAATTAAAAGACAACTAAGTAGGCAGCAGTGCTTGACAATTGACTGTAGTCATGCAGACACACAAAAGCAAACAGATCGCAAAAGCATTTCCTGTATTAAAAGGAATTACAGGAGATGATGGGTGGAAGCACACAGGCCTCTTCTAAGATCCGTGCCATGCCAGTGACAAACTTGCCAATAGTACCTTGCATTTGTCTAACTAGGAATGTAGTAATGCAGGTGAAAGCAAAGAAAATGGGCATATTCACAATATAACTTCAACAACGAGATCATGAAACCCATAGTAACCAATCAGTTGTCAGATCAATAAAAGATGAGTTCTGGTTGGCTGCCATGTTGCTTATTGTATGTAAGCTTCCCTCTTTAAAAGAGATATGGCCCTCATTCAGAGAAAAGTGACAATGTCTTTGCAAGGGGGCACCCCCTGACCCACTAATACTCACCTTGCCAACGCCACCCACTGATCCATCCTCCGCTGCAGCTAGCGACAATATTCAGTGCTTCTGGGTATGAGGAAGTATGTGACCTCCTCCCATGTGACAATACTGGGGTCTAGTAACCAACTTCTAGACCCATGCACTGTCACATGAAAGAGGAAGTGATGGAATGTCTCCCTCTAGTGTTCGACACCAGCTTGAAATGTTAGTTCCGACTATGATGGAGGAAAGAGTGGTTAGGAGCACTGGCAAAGTGAGCATCCAGGAGTCTGAGGGGCCTTTAGCAAAGACACTGCCATGGTCACTTTAAAAAGCGCTTTTCAATAAATTCAACATCATCAATTCCCCTAAACAATACACTGTTTTTGTCAGTCAAATACAACTAATTAAAACAGATAAAACGAATGCCGACATACTTGTTTCAGACAATTTTTGGCAAGAGACAGATCATAAGATTTACTTTGTACTTGCTTCAACTACCCTAGTGTTTCAAGAACTACAAATAAGTGCAATCGGCATACGGGAAATATAGCAGACCTATTAGCATGAAACATTTTCAGCATTTAGGTCTTAAAGGTATGGCACATTTTAATGAGCAAGGACAACAGTCTACACTGGAAAATAATAATGTTCAAGTAAAATTGCCTCAATATGGTACAGGAGCTGGTAGACAGTACACGATTTGGAAATAAAAAGTAAACAATCATTTGCATGACACAGACTTTGTGCATTGGTGAGGACTAGCCTTCATTCAAGAGAACGAGCACTCAAATTATTATACCGAAAGCCACACGGAAAACATAGGCCATTCATACAAACAACACAAAATAAAAAAATAAATAGAAAAAAACATAAATCAGACAATGTAAGCCCCATCCTCATCTCTACCGAAGCTGGATTCTGGAGATCGTGAAGATCCAGAGCTGGACTTCTGTATGTAGTTTCTGACATGGACGGGTTGGTTGGACTCTGTTCTTACAAGAGAAGTGTTAGTCCTGATTTGAGGCGTTGTAGACTGAAGGGCTGGCGAGGCTTTTTTGTTGCTGGTCATAACCTCTAGATGTCCCGCTGGGTCAATGATTGCATTTATGACTGTGGAGTGTGATAAATACAACTATTAGGAACTTGTATATGAAAAAAAACATAAAAAGGCAGCATAAGATGAGTAAACTATAATGGAGGCATTGGCAAAGACATGAAATAGATAAGTGCAAATTTAAGTAATCTACAGCAACCAGTTAGATTCATCTTCCCACTTGGGCTACTGCACATACTGTATGATGAAAAGATTCATAAGAAGATGTTACCTTAAAAGTATATTTCCATTTTTGCAGCCAAATTGGGATAACAACTACTTTACATTTGTTCATATTCCCATTCACATAGCAGAACATAAAAAAAAATATTTCAAGATGTCAGCTTATGTTTTTTAGATGCTCTTTTGCTCATTTTCTATCATTAACCCTGTCCTTATCTTTACACCACCATCTAGTCCAACAACTAGAAGCTACCTCTTGTGTCCTATGCATGGACGTCCCGAGGTTGGGTGACACCCGGAGCGGTAACAGAGTGTCACCCCGCCGAGACGTCATCGTGCATGCGTATGACGTCCTCGCGCACGCGCGGCAGTATTCCGATACTTGACGGCGGCCATCTTGGTAATGGACGCCGGCAGAGAGAGAAGGGGACAGTCATCCGGCAGGATAAGGTATGCCACCGGGTCCCCTTCTCTCTCCTGATACTGTCGGGGGTTCAGTCCATGACCGAGCGCCCGACTTTTCAGAGGGGGGCTACACCAAAATGACTAAGTTATTTTGGTGTCACCCCTCCAATGGTGTCACCCGGGTGCGGGCCGCACCCCCCTTGTGATGCCACTGGTCCTATGTACAATCCTGATTCAAACAGCTAGAAAGCCAAGTACTATTCATTAAAAAAACATATGTATAGATGTGGTTATGCTTAGGTTAGATGGACCAGTGTCTTTATTCAACCTTAAAAATTATTTAACTATGATCTGTGAATGGGAACACATAACAGACATATAGTGGGGTTTTCCCAAATTTGACTGCAAAAGTGGAATACATTTTTCAGCAAAAAGATGTCAAAGTAATTGATGGATACAGAGATCTAAACAGCTCTTGCCATATCCATCTTCCTAAAAAAAAAAAAAGTGCGCTTAGACCCAACTTCTTCCACTTTTCCAGACTCCTCAGTGTTCCTTAAAAGTAACAGTCCACTTACTTAACCAATAGGAGGGCTTGGGAGGTGAAAGGGGGCATGAAAAAGCTTGACTTGTACAGAGAAAGCAGAAATGTGGCCATTACTTTCCTGCTTATGCGTTTTTTTCATTATATGCTCAGATTCATGTGCAAGGGTTTGTGGTATGTTTACTACAAATAAGCCCCAAAAGTCTTGAGAGAATTAAAGTGGATTTAAAAGAAAACTGGATACCCCATGATTGTTAAAGACCCCTCTGCATGAAGAGAGTTCCTGCTGGTGAAATCTGGTACTGTGGCATGAACATAAAACACAACCACCCCTCCCTACTTTGTGACTTTGATGCACTTCAAAACATCAGCAAGTTGGGGTTCAGTCATTGCTTCAAACAACAAAGTCACTGGTGCCAAAGTTTATCCTCCAAAAGGTGTGTAAACTTCAGAACTTCTCACAAGTAGGCAGCACTTGAAACAGTGACCGTGCCTGTCATGTCAGCAGAAGGAGGAGGATTGCTTCTATCGCCGGTCCCGATATGACTGACATCTGATGTTCATTCAGTGCAGATTCACCCCTGCACACTACAGGCTTTCTAACATAGGCTGTTTGAAAAATGTAAACAAGCAAGAGAGGTACTCACATTTAATAAAGTGTTCTACACTAGAGAGGCACACGTTTTTTTCTGTTTCAGTCATTGCTTGTTGGAAGGCTATACAAGATGGCGATTTATTCATGACACTGGAGGGACTTTGAGTTACTAACCCAAAACAAATATGCGTTAGTGGAAAGGACCTGGAGAACCTACCTTCCAGTTGCTTTTGGACTCTTCTCAACTCTTTCAAAATAGAGCTGATTTCCTTTAGAGAAGAAGAAAATTAAATAAGAATATACATTTTCAGCAATTTACAATAGTTGTGGCACAGTGGGGTTCATTTCTTAAGGCAAATAGACTGTCCACTTTGCAAGGAAATGTTCCCTTAATTTAGTAATGAGATGAAGCTCTACTGACTTTCATTATCCAGTTATATGCAACCAAAAATAATATTTTTTTCCTCCTTGCATGTGATTGATTATTGTGTGAGTCCATCTCCAGTGGTCTAACACACAAGCGTGCTCCAATCAGACATGTTAGCGCTTCCTATTGATTGGAGCACAGTGGTTGAGGCTTTGTAGGGGGTGTGTCAGACCATGGGAGATGGTCCAATGACTCTTACACTTGGTGTCCATGGTGCAGATGCACTTAAAATCTGGTTTGCACACTGAACTTATTTTTGTATAGGCAAACTTGTACTTTTTTACCCTCAGAGAGATGGCAATTTGCAGTTGATAACATTAAGATTTTTAAAAATATATATACTTACTCTGTTAGATGTTTTAAGGATTGGCACTTCATTTTCAGCATGAATTTTCGCCTCAATATCTTCCCAGCTTTTCTCTTTGTTCTTAAATACAATTCTGTTGCATAAAAGAAAAAAACACACACATTAATTCCTAAAATATATAAAATCGGTAGACAAGACAAAATCAAGAACTAAATGTTACCTACTTCATTTTTTCTGTAAGTATCTCTGTGTTTGCGCATATTGTATGTGACAGCTGCGATACAGGATTCAACATGAGGTTGTCAAATATCACCTGAAATATAAAAGAACAGTACATAGTCATTTGTCAAATAAATACAGAAAGTTTACTTTAACATTTTCTAAAATATACTTTAGACTGGCTTCTTCTGGGTAAACGGCTTGTTTTTTTTCTTTTACCTTATCATAATTTTTTTTCTATTGTCTATTGGCTTTTTTATACTTTGTTTTTTTCCAGATCTTTTATAGTTTATCTAGCAAGAAATATTAAATGTGGCAAAGTAATTTCAGAAGACGGTTGTAGAGAGCACAATAGTAGAAGCACTGATTTGTAAAGGGGCTGTAACTGCAGTGATCTCTAGCAATATGTAATGTGTCTCCAGTCTATGGCTGTCTTCTGAAACATGTCTTAAATCTCCTACAACATGTTCTTAGTCCTTAACCATCTCTCATAGCATGTCTGCAGTCTTTTGACTATCTCCTGTAGCATGTCTGTAGTCTTGGACCATATCTCGTTGAATGTGTACAGTGTCTGACCATCTCCTGTAGCATATCTGCAGTCTATGACCATCTCCTGTAGCATGTCGGCAGTCTATGACCCTCTCCTGTAGCATGTCTACAGTCTCTGGCAATCTGCCAGAGCATGTCGATGGTCTCTGACCATCTCCTGTTGCATAACCACAATCTCTGACAGCTTTCTGTAGCATTATATTTGATAATATCTGTGACCCTTTGGTGACATCAGTGGCCGCACTTGAGGCCCCCCTAGATCTTGAAACTTGACCACCACTGCCATATAGTGTGTAGATCTTGCGTTTACAGGTTCTGAAGCGACATTTAAACAGACCGGGCCACCATGAGCGAACATACAACAGCGCAAAGCATTACCAGCACACCTTGGTCAGCAAAAGGGGTAACCTTTTACATTTTGGGCCCTAAATGTGACTCCTTCAATATGACAATAATAGTTCCATCGAAGCCTGTATCGTTGCACTAAAGTTTTCCCTTTTGCTGACCAAGGTCTGCTAATGATGCCTTGTACTATATAATCCAATGGGGACACCTGTTGGGTGACAACTAAGATGGGTTTTCTCCTCACTTCCTGTAGTGTCTGCAGGACAGGATGTAAAGAGAATTCTTCCCAATGGACAAAGACAGAAGGAAAAAAATTGACAAATGTTTAGAATTCCCAACTCTATTCTCAACTATTCTACTACTATTCTTCTACTTCAACTATTCTTCTAAAACTGTTTTGGATTTAGATTCACTTTAAGGTTAAAAAAGCATTGCAGAATTATTGATAAAACTCTTTTTATAAACTATAAGGCTGTGCATTATATTTTTTCTTTTAAAGCCAAATGTTTTACATTTGGCTCATTGTGATAGTGTTGTATCAAGAGTTTTCAGTTGTCTGCATTTAACAATAAAATATCCTAATGACAAATACCCATGCAGGAATACACAAAGTTCATGCGCTATATGCCCACCTCCTCTCTGTTTCTTGCCCTCCTTTTTAAAGGATCTTCCTCTCGATTGTCATTCATGTTCTGATCAAATTCTTGTCCTGTGGAGCCTGGTGGGATTTTCTGATAATTCAGACCTGCCTCAGGGATGTGATGCACCAACTTTAAAACAGACAAAAAGAAAAGAATACATGTTTATATACATCCATCAAATCGCATTTACTCTATATAATAGAGTTTGTTAAATTGTAAGCGCACTTACACATATTGGGCTTTGGTGCCCTTCCCCTGGCTCTGAAAAGTTTGATGAGCAGAGAGCTAAATAGGAATTCCATTTGAATGGAGACTGAGGCTCAGGAGGACTCAAACCCAACAATAAAGAGTTTCAAGAGACTGTGTAATGCCAAACAGTAGCACAAGGTATGGCTTCAAGAGCAATTTGGGTCAGGCATTGGGGGCCAAAATGTATAGGTGCAGTTGTACTTTAAAATGTAAACTAGAAAATTGACTTTAGTCAGATCAGTAGAAGATGGTGATTGGCTGCTTTGTACACCATGCTTTACCCAAACCCTCATGTAAAAAACACTGAAAGTGTAAGAACATTACCAGGCTCACAATAAAAATATCCTACAGAAATTAAATATGATAGCCACTAGAATAATATGAAGTCAGTATACATTTACTTCTATTTAATAACACTATTCTCTTATACCGAAGGAGAAGAATAATGGAGGGAAAATAATGCAATATAATGGCTGGATTTTGAAATGAAATAGATTTTTTTTTAAATGACAGTAACTTGTGTGAATATATTTTGTTAAACTAAACCGGTCATCCATTCAGAATATCTGACACTAAAAGTGCTGTGAGGAAGAGAGATGGCATTATAGGGTTCCTACCATTGCCTGTCTTGACCAGAACAGTTTCTTCAAAGCTCTGTCTGAAACTGATCTCAGTCTGCCATGAAGCCATGACTATGGGCCCACTTTTGGGCCTAAGTTCGGTGTAAACCCTACCTGCCAACCTTCTTTTTCAATGAGACTGTGCTTACTGATCAGCAAAGTGTTTTTATTAGATAAGAACTGGCAGGTGGATGGGCTTTATGCCAGGGAGGCACTTAGACCTCAGTAGCAAACTAAAAGTAATTTCATAGAAGACACTGAAAAGGCTCCTTAGAACATTGATTTCTTCGGTTTGTCAGTGAGGCTTGGACTTTATACCTGAAAAACTTGCTGGCATGAAGCCCACCAACCAGCCAGACCCTCCTGTCTAATGAGAACTTGCAAGCCAAAAGTGTGATTGGACGGGGGGTGTTGGTAGGTATGGCTTAGCACAGAAGGGTAGAACATAGGGCCAAAGTCAAGGATTCATTAGCAAACTGATAGCAATCCCATGCAAGACTCTCAAAGGGCTGTATGGAACAAAGGAGGGAATTTTAAGTTCCCTTTGACTCCTTCTCTTACCCAACACTTTTGTTGTTTTAGCTATTCTGAATAGTTCACAGGTTCACCATGCCATTCCCTTTTCTATGCAATCTAGAGGCTTTTGTAAACTCTTCATTGCTCCCTCTCTCACGCCACAGCTATCCAGCAATCCCTATATATAGCAGCAGCTGTAAAAATCCAAGTGCATTTAAAACCTTTTTTATAAATATTATTATTACTGGATAAAACAGGGAAAAACATTTTGATTATTCGGTGATCTGTTTCACCACTGAGGAGAATCACCCTAAAAAGGGTACCAAAAGTGGGGGAAAATACAGCATTGAGTTGCCACCAGAAGAGGAGGAAGCTGAAAGAAACATTTGCCAATGGAGATTCTTCGGAGACAGTCATGGGGACTTTCCTTGTTTTGGAGAGGTCTCCTCTTTCCTGTTGTGACATGCATGCAACTGGTGACAGTAATATGGTGCCATGTCAATTCAGCACTGCAAACAGGTGCTGGATGATGCATGCAGTTTGTATGGCATCAATGGAGTCCTTCATTTATGTACATAAATATGGTGGACCCTATATACACCCATCTTTTTTTGACTCTCAAATCCTCTGCTTTATGTTTCTTGTTTGATAGCTTATATTGTAGATTGGGTCTGGGGTGTTTATAAACCAAATGTATATGAATGTATACATATATTGCTAACATTCGTTATATTTTTTAAATGTAAGCGAAATCTATTTTTTACAGTTGCTATCTGGAGATGGCAAGAGAGCTGTGACAAGACAACAGGAGCAGAGGAAAGCTTACAACAGCCTCTACGCACAGGTACTGGTAGGTAGGAGAGCAAGAGGAATTGCATGGGTTACTTTCAAGAATATCTTCACCTAAAATACTGTGTGTAATATAAATAGTTACATAACATTTATTCACCTCCTTCACTTACATCCTCAGCTCAAAGGCTGAAAAACTGTTGAATGTTAGGCCAGTGGCATTAATTTCAGCTGAGACAGTTTACATTACACTACTGACTGACCAAAATATTTGTGTGGCAGACAACCAAGGGGTCCAGTTAATCAATTCAAGCCCAAAACAGTGAACGGTTCTAAACTACTGAGTATTTTAAATGGAGCTGAAAACAAAACCTATAGTTCACCAAAACAAAAAGAAAAGAAAAGAAAAATCATGGCACCTGGGATGGGTATGCTCTTTGTGATGATCTTTTAAGTATCTGTGTTAAGAAAGAAAAAAATGAATATAAAATCATAGATGTGAAAATAAAGTCAATGAAAATGTTAAAATGCTTTAGATGAATATTATAATTCATGTTATCCCTCTAGCAGAACCCAAGTTTTGTTGGGACAAGACGATTGGGCAGTTGTCCATTTCATTTGTCAGAGAACTTTGGTGTTTTCATGGGACATAACGTGCAGCAGTTCTGTATGATAGGGACTGTGTTCCACGGGAGGACTGCAGCCTTCCAAGTAAGGCAGGTAGCGGGAATAGGTTAGTTTTTGGCTTCTGAAAAATTGGCTTTAATTAGCAATGGGAATTTTAGCTTGCAATTTCATACTCCATTGACATCCGCCTTTATTGTAAAAAAAATGGCCAGAGTGGACAAAATTCTCTGTATTTTTTTTCTTGCCTTGCATTTACATGCACGTTTCACATGTTGCACTGAGAAAAGTAGAGCATGTTCTACTTTTTTTCAGCACACTGCAATGCAACGCAGCAGTGGGAACTGGTGCCATTCACACCCATACATTCTTGGTTTCCCTTCCATTGATATACGGATGCCAACGGATGTGGTGTGAATGTGGTCTTATGAGTCATGTGCATCAGTTTAAATATGAAGTGGACCAGAACATTTGCCATGTTACACGGAACATCTAGAATTGTTAATTTTGTCTAAGCAGCACTCTGAAATATTTTTATCTTGAATTCCCCCTGAAAAATAGCAGGGTACATCCTGTACCTCTGCAGTCCTGTGCCTATAGCCTCACAGCTGTAATTTTGCAGTGTGAATTTCAAGCATGGATGCATCTGACTGCTAGTCTCAGAAGATCTTAAGTGAGATTGTGTGATGTCACTACTGTGCTGCTCACAGCTCTCTATGCTGGAGAGGAAGCGGTAGTTCAAGAACTGCAGTGCAAGGATCTCCCTGCTTCTGCTTCATTCATTCTGTGGATCTGTGATTCCTATACATCTCTTGCTGCTTTTTGAACTTTACCCAAGCAGTCCTTGGGTGAGTAGCTGTGACATGAGAAAGCAAGGCCCTTTTTCTGCCAATATCACCATCACCACACATAAGAGACAGTGCAGAACCAGGCATGTTAGTGTTACTAGTCAGTAGTGGAAAAAGATCATGTGCAGGAGGGCCACAGGCAATACTGGTGATTAGCCTTTTGCTCCCTGGTTGCCTTTTTTGAGGCATAGCTAACAGATTTCAGTTTCTCTTTAACATTGGCCCCTGCAGCAGCCTATACTTCCCTTCACTCTTTAGCTCCTGTCTGCCCACAGAAGCAAGGAGAAGCTTATACAGGGACGGAGGACTTACTCCCCACACCCATGTGACAGTGCTGGGTGCCTGCGCAGCCTATCACAACCAAAGGCATTATTACCCAAAGAAATGGAGACCTCCACTTTTCTTCAATTTATGTGCATATGTGGCAGACAAGGACAAAAGTTAGGTTCAGTCCGAATTATACTCACTAGAGTACTGACTTGGTCATAAGTACCCTAGTGTTTCTCTACCCATGGTAACCAACATGAAGGAAGTAGGAATAAAGCAGAGGAAAATGCTCAAAAACAATATGAAAAACATGAATTGTCCCTCTATGTGTTATGTTTTCTAAAATGAACACTGCAGAAAGAGATTTATACACTTTTTCACATCACCAGTCTCTACAGGATCAGTGTGTTTCTGACCTTGGCTGCCTAATGGTTTGTGCACAAGTACTCTTACAAATCCTGTACTGAATATTGCACAATTGACATTAATGTAATTTTGCCTTGAAGCCTATGGGTCCGTATTGGCTTCTAAGTCAGGAAAATGAAAATAAAACAGTAACTAATATGCTCACTTACTGGTAATTTCAAAGCAAAAGCCTATGATCCAGAAAACCAAGACGAGTTAATGAACTACTGTTTGCACACTGAAGCTAAACAATTTAGAAATACCTTCTTTCCAGATAATCTTTTGAAACATTTAATCTCTTAAGTCCAAGATAGTTATCAAAACCTCTTCTGCAGTCCAAAAAACCTGATGGAATTCATGCTCCGTGGCCCTTACATGGCAGCTAAAAATGGCAGGTGATAAAAGATCACATGACCATTCTACAGCCTCCGTGGCTTTATTCATGATTTACACATAAATATCCACCACAATTTTATCTAAGATGTTTTCATCTAGGACTCCCACTCCCGCTGTACATTATAGGTGTTTATGTGTGACATTGGTGGCTGCACTAGTCAAAACAAAAAATCAGAACAGACATTACACGCTGGGTGTTATCGGCTCAGCCAAGCTGCACTCTGTAATTCAGGCTCAGAAGCGACTCCTTGTGCCATGATTCACCTCCTGGAAACTTGTTATACTATTACAAACGTAAAAATCTGAATGTTTAATGGGATCGCCAGACTAGAATTTTGAGGACGACAATTCTCAAGGCAATTCTCTGCAAAACTTGACACTTCACAAAGTCTTCTTACTGGGATCAGTAGCTCCATCTATTGGTGTATTTGGAGAATTACATAAAATGGTGGCTTTTTGTTTCAATATAAAAGGCAGTCTTACCTCTTCCCTCGCAGATATGATGGAGGCCGGTGTATTTGGCACAGAGCTTAAAGATGTACTGTGTCCTGTCCCGGAGGAGCTCTGAGAATCCCCATCTCCAGCTACTTCATGTATCTCTTTAGCCAAGCTGGCTACATCTTTTACCAGGGTTTGACTTAACCTATTATATATATCAGACAATCATTCAAAGAAATACTCACCAAATTACCAAATACAACCTTATTTATTTTACAAATGTTTTGTTCATTTGTGTCTTTTGATAGCAAATAGATTTGGGTTTAACCACCTCAGGGCCGGCCGTTGTAAAAAAACGGCCGGCCGAGAGGTCTCTAGATCTGAGCGGGCATCTTTAGACGTCCGCTCAGACACGGCGCGCGCGAGCGGGAAATGGCCGTTATTTAAAAACAGGCAGCAATGCCTTTTACCATACAAGCGATCCATCGGCTGTAGAGCCGGCGGATCGCGTGTATGGTGTGCCGATCGGTCGTCCCCACTAAACTGATGAGCGGGAAAAGCTTTTAAAGCATCGCCTATGGCCAATTTTGGGTATGGTAGTTTTCTGCGATTTCGCGGGTGCGCGCAATTTTAAAGCTTGACATGTTTGGTGTCTGTTTACCCGACGTGACCCCATATTTTATATTTTACCAAAAAACTGGGTAATAATAAATGTTTCCGCACATGATGTAAAAAAAAAACTTTTTTTTTTCAAAATTTTCTGTAATTTTTCCTTATTATAGTAAAAATTAAAAACCGTAGTGGTGTTTAAATACCTCCAAAAGAAAGCTCTAGCTGTCCCCAAAAAATGGTATAAAATTCATTTTAGTACAGCGTTGCATGACGGAATAAACGTCAAAGTACCGCAGCGCTGAATACTGAAAAATGGCCTGGCCAGGAAGGGGGTCTAAACACCTGGTCTTGAAGTGGTTAAAATGCAGGGCCTCCTACTTTGCTATGGGCCATACATGTTGCACTCTCCAATCCTGGCTGTCAAAGCTTCGACCACAATGGTGACCATGTTCCCCCTCTAGTGGAGTCACGCATCCTCTACCATGTCCCCGATATAATGTATTGTAAAGATACTTTCATCCTAAAGTGTATATCAGGGCAAAAAAACCGTATGTAGTGCATATGCAGTGTCTGCAATATATGCACATTTTCCCTATGCAGTGTCCCATCTACTCGGCAAATAGTACATGTATTATTCAGTCATATCACAATTATTTCTGTATTGTATACAGGGAATAATTGTATAATTATAGATTGAGCTGGTACATTAAAAGAGAACTATGGGGTAAGTGTTTATCCCATAGTTCTCTTTAGGGTCACATAGGGACACATACTAACCTCTTCCTGTGACCCAAAGCTCAGTATATAGCGGGCTATTGCCCACTATATACTGAAAGCGCTGCCACCGGGACAGATCCTGACAATACTGTTTGGATCCACCCAGCTGTGTGAGTGACAGCAGGCTCTGCCTATCTAGAGGCAGAGCCAGCAGTGCCCGCCCCCTCTGCTGTTCGTTCCTCCACTTATCGATGGAGGATCGAAGTGGGAAGGGGGGAATCCCTGCAGGGAGTGGTGACTGATAGTCACCGCTCACTGAATGGAGATGATCGGGAAGTGACCAGATCGGCTACATGTTTTTGCTCACTTCCCGATTAATAGAGCCGACCTGTGACAGCTTCTTTGTCACAGGTCGGCTCTAACTATGAGGATGAGTGGAAATCAGTCACCTCATAGATCTCCTTTATTCTCAATTCTAACTAGTCATGATTAGGCTTATGCAACAACCAGAATATCCAGTGTAGGATTTCTATAACTCAGCGGTCTTGCTTATGCAAGGTTTATATTTGCCCTTTTATTTAGCTGATCTGGACATTTTAGCTTGTGTAAGGGGGTCTGAAGTCACCTAAACTCGTGTAATTGATTCCACGTCATCCGCCTGACTGTGCACACGGCACACTCACGGTCTGGAAACAGACTGGCAGGTCAGGACTCTGCTATGGGTCATATGTGCTACACTCTCCAATCCTTGGTAACAAGGTATCAGCAAGTATCCAGCTCAGATAGAGAAAATTAAATAAATAATCTGACTAGGATAGGGAGGGACAGAACTTGGGGCCACGAAGGCTCCCATGCAGGAGCATTTGCTGACAAGGAACATGCCAATAGCAGGAGAGCAAAGAGATGACCTCATCAGTTTATTGCGGAGCCTTCACTGTCAAATTACAGTCTGGGCTCATACAGGATGACCCAACTGTGTTGCTTAATTGCAGCAGAGAAAAGTCAGTTAGCCAGACTGGCTGTACTGTCTGGCAGGGCTATGGTAATTTCAAGACTTGATGGACAGAAACAGACAGGCAAGTCAAACAGCTATGTTTCTCAATGGTTTAATAAGCCGCTTGCCTTGAGTTTTAAAGGTTTTTTTTTTTTCTTTAGGAGGGAGGTTTATAGGAAGAAAGCCTTTCTACTGTTCCTAAGCTCTGCTCCCCATCTTTGTCAGACATGGCAGCCCTCACAATACAAAAGCTTCAGTCAATACAAAAGTTTCAGTGTGTGTGCATGGTTTTGGAATAGGATATTGTCCAGTCTCCACAAATGTTTGCCCATTAATGTAGGTCCCTTCACGAACCCTTTAAGAGGAGACTTTCCTAGTACAAAACGATAGTCCTTATCAGCACCACATAAGCGTCCACCCAACACACACTAGAAATATGCAGACATAAATATCCATAAGGCACTCACCTGGCTATTTCTGCAATTTCTGCAGACTGTGTCATGTAGTTATTGTACACCTCCTGGTCATCGTCATCATCATCCTGATGCCGCTTGTGCCTCGGACCGTGAGAAACGCTGGTGGCGGCCTTGGAGGTCTGAGTGGCTGTTGAAGTATGGGATCGTTTGTGTTTAGGGGTGCTGTGATTAGAGCCATACTCCTCCTCAGATGTAGACAAATAATCTGAACCCTGCTGCCTCCGTCTCGATGCTTACAAAATGAATTGGTTTTAAAGAGAGAGAGAGTTAAAAGATCAATCCTCTCCTAGCCACCGGTGAGACAGGTCGGAACTGTTTACATTAAGAGCGCCAACATACAAGTTGCTTGTTAGGAAAAAATAAATGCTCACCAAATGGAAACAGGTTTAGACCCTTCCTGCCTGCAACCTGTAGATTTAGGTTTCCCTGAACAAGGCCCGTGCTGAGTGTATATTAATCTATGTCCTACCTTTGAAAGCTAGCAGCCAACACTGTACATGGCTTCTATCTACCAGACCAGCTTTCACTGACAGCTCTGCCCCCCACTAACTATCCCCACTGTCATTCACAATGGTCCCCAATTACGTAATCACTATGACTGCTATAACATAGTGATAACGTTCAGGCTGGAAGCTTCGTTCACAAAATAAGCTTTCAGCCTACAGATGGTACTTGAGCCTTTAGATGGCCTCTGTTTAATAGTATAACTGTCTGACACAATTACATTTTTCTTTTGTACATTTGTCAGCCTATTATTAAAAAAGTCTTCTAATTAAAACCCTTATATTACCTTCAAAAATAAATATTAAAAGGAGAACTATGAGGTGACTGATTTCCCCTCAGCCTCATAGTTAGAGCCGACGTGTGACAAAGGAGCTGTCACAGGTCGGCTCTATTGATCGGGAAGTGAACAGAAACCTGCAGCTGTCCCCTCGCTTAACAATCGTCTACCTGCAGGGAGCAGTGACTGTCAGTCACCACGCCTTGCAGGGATTACCCCCCTCTCCGATCCTCCAGCACTGAGTGGAGGAACGAACAGGAAGGGGGCGGGCAGAGCTGGCTCTGCCTCTATATAGGAAGAGCCAGCTGTCACTCATGCAGCTGGGTGGATCTCGACAGCATTGTCGGTATCTGTCCCGGCAGCGGCGCTCTCAGTATATAGCAAGCAATAGCCCGCTATATATTGAGCTTTGGGTCACGGGAGGAGGTTAGTATATATCCTCCGGTGACCCTAAAGAGAACTATGTGGAAAAACACCACATAGTTCTCTTTACGATGTATTTTTCAGTAAAATCAGTAGTAGCAGTAGTTTCACAGTTGACTGCAAAAGTGGAAGTGAACTTAAAAATAATAATAAATCATTGGCTGCAGTCATCTTTAAGCTGCTATGGCATCTCTTAGGTTTGGATGTTTCAGGCTCTGCAATTTAGGGTAACTGCACGCCCTTGTCATTTAGGTACCAAAATTAGTTTTGATTTATCTTTTATTTGCAATAAAAACCAGTTTGTTTTGACATAAAATATACCCAAAGCATGTGCTCAAAAATTCAGCATTGGTTAGCCAATTTTTTATACACATGCATATCAGTATACAGACTAGTTTGCAATGCAGAGAAACACGTAATTCCAAAATCTAATTGTGGATCATAAATCATAGGATTCTCTGTTCAGTGCAAAAATCTGTCTGCAAATATTAAAGCCATTTGCAATTTAATGACTTGGGAAAGGGAGACATTTCCCTCTGGACATTGGGCTTACTGCCATTAATTCCACTGGATGGCAGTATAGACTGTACTTTGCTGCTTAGCGACTGTGACTGCAATATCTAATTTAAGTGCATGAAATCTTTAACATTCATATTTGCAATTTTTTTTTTCTACTGTATTTTTAGATTTTTAGGATTTCCATGTGTAAAAGATGCCAAAAAAAAATCAAATTACCAAAAATCAGCAACTTGTATATTCGCTCTCTTACTACGGGTCGATTTGTATTAATTTTTTTTATATTTAAAGGGGCTTTCCAGGAAAATAGAAATCTTGACTTCTGACTGTTCCTCACAGCATAGGTGCCCATAGACATGTAAACCAATCCATCCAACTTCCACAGGGTTGGAGGACCATCTCAATTTTAATTATTTTTACGTTATATTTTGAAGTCAGTGCACTCTGCGTAACAATTTTTTTCATGGTGGGTATTCTTTTTTTTTTTAGATAACTATACCTCCTTTTAAGATACCCCCCTAATTTTATCTAATGGCTAATGTTTTCCTCTAGATATGGCAGATGTCCAGCTCTGCTCTTTCCTGCTGATTCCAAAAGTATAAACATGCATGCGCTGGCTATCTAAGGGCTACACAGGCAATTTTTATCTCCTCCTGATGACAGATTTAAAGATGAACTCTGGAATGTTTAATAAAATTCCAGTCCCCACACACCCTGCCCACTGCAAGGGTTAAATGCTTAAGTCTAGCGATAGATGAAGTGTAAAACGTACTATATTCCTTGCTTTGGTGTTCACTGACACTCTGGGTTGTGGGCAGTCTCTTGCCATCCTCACATACAATGCAGGACTTTTGACTCTGCATTGTACTTAATGACATCGTGTGTGTGACCACCGGCAAGAGCATCTTAGAGAAGACACATGGGGGGGAATGTATATATAGATGGAGGGAGCTTGCAAGAGGGAGGACTAAAATATTACACCTTATTCCTTTAGCCATTGGCGTCTTGCCGTTTGAGGCCAGAGGGGAGGGTGGGAAGGTGCTTGTGATACACGTTCTGGGGGGGGTGGTTTGCTGGTGGTGCACGTTCCAGGGGCGGGGGGGGTGCCACTTGTGGGGCCCTGCCTCTACCTCTAGAGGTAACAAGCATTTAACCCTTGAAATCCGGGGGCCGCACTGCAAGGGTAATTGTTTTCATGCCTGGAGTGGGGTTTTTAAATACTTGCTTGCAGCCACCTGAATAGGCTAGAGCTATACAGGAGTTTTCTAATAGCTCAATCCTGCTACTAAAGTCACTAGCGATCCTTAGGTGTAGCAAATGATCGCTAAACAAAAGTGACTACCTATGGAGTATGCTGCATAAATACCACATAGTAGCATCTTGCAACAATCAATAGCACATGACTGGAGCATTGTCCAATCATGCTAGTTTGATTGGTACTATACGATACTGTGTAGCTTACTCTATATGGAGTTTGTTTGGCACCCTCATTGAACTTGAAACCTGTGAATCTTCAAATCACAGAAAGAAAAGCAAGCTCAGCACGCGACATGTACGCTCGGTGTACATTGCTGACATATATTTTTTTTAAAGTACCTCCGCAAAAGGTGGAAATGGGCTTTAAGGACCAAGACACACCTTAATGCCCCCCCCCAGAAAAGGATGTTTAGAGTTCTATAGAGTTTAGAGTTCTATTTTAACTAGAATCAATAGAAGTGGAATGGCCGGACTACCTACAGAGACAAATGCAGGTAAAATCCGACACTGCAATCAAGATATTACGATTTAATGGTGCACAATGAGCACTAGTATATTGGGTCACTGGGAAGATGCGAGTCAAAAGGTAACTGGTTCCATTATCTGGAAAACCCCTCTAGTAATATAGAAACTTTTTAGGAAAGAAACATGATTACCAATTGGGCTAGGTTTATAACAGCCGATTGGCAAATGGCCTATGAACCTAACAAGGTTAATCTAGATACAATGCTAGACAAATATATATATATATTGCCATTCAAACTGTGCTAAAGCTAGCCCTTAGAATTAAAACTTTATACAGGATTCATTGAGATGGTTCACAGACAATATAAATGTTTCTTTTGTTGTACAAAAGACTGCCTGTAGAATTCCTTCTACAGGCAACCGAATGTGTCCAGCATCAGAAAATGGAAAAAAAACGCCACATGAATTTATTCCGAGTTATAATGGGAGGTTATACATGATAACAGAACATACAATTATTTCTGCAATAATGGTGGCAGCAAAACCTTTGCAAAACGAACCAAAGAACTAAATTCCAAATATGGGACAAGGGAAATTTTTGTTTTTTTTGCAACAGAAGAAACATATATAGTTCTGTAAAAGAAGCTATGCACTAGTGTGGTAAACTGCAAATAACATTTGCTTAAAAACATACTGAACATTACGTAATTTTTAACCACAGGCGGGTGTGGAGAATATCAGAAAATGGATGAGATCGGTTACCCAAATGAGAACTAGATTTTAGGTTCTCTTATAACCTGCCACTGTCAAAAGTCTACTGCACAATGTTGTCACGTCCTAGTATTAGATCAAAGCCATATGGCCTAAAGTTGGCTATTTACTAGTAGAGCTACATTAAAAAAAAAAAATTCCAAATAGTCGTTAAAGTTTTGAATAGTTAATAGGGTTTAACAGACGATCAATTTTGACCACAGCAATGCAACAAAAACAACAAATCAAAAGGAAGGAGCATAAAAAAATTTCTCTAGCAAAATTCTAACAATTAATTTGTTCGAGAAACTCCATTATTTCAAAAAATGAAAGTTGAATTCAAACAAAATTTCAAGCAACATTATTCAATGTTCAGATTTCGTTTGAAAACTAGAAAAAAACAGTGAATACCCAGCTTAAGGGCCATGCCACATCAGCAACCTTGACATGGACCTAAGAGTGCCTGCACAGTGGCAATAAAATGGCGCTTGCATCAAATTTGTGCTGCATTTGGGTATTTGCCATGGGTCACATTAGGATAATAATGCCTTACTCTAAAAATGGACAGATAAGGAGACTGTCATCAGACGTCTAAATGTACCCTGATGCCAAACACCAGCTTAGATCCCTCTGTGGCTTAACTATGTTGGGAACAGGACAACCATCCCATCTATACTAGTTAAAGTGCTGCAATCACCTTATAGTGACACTGAAAATGTATCTTAATTGTGAATCACTCGGCTATAGACCCTCAAATCATCTCTGAATTGGTGCCAACACAGTCCTTCCTTCTGGAGGGTTGCTACTGTTGTTCCCCATGGACCCTGTGTGTGTTGTAAAGGAGCCTACGTTTCAAGCTCGCTCCCGTGATGGACTACAATCTCATGTTTAGTTTACTAATTTGTATTGAAGTTATATTCTATCCTGGGAGCGAGCTTGGAGTGGTGACTATTTTACAACACACACAGGGATCATGGGGATCAAAAGTAGCCACCCTCCAGAAGGAAGGACAGTGTCAGCACCAGTTCAGAGATGATTTGAGGATCTACAGCCGAGTGATACACAAATATGATGCATTTTTGTTAATAGTTAAAAGAGTTTTTCCCCATAGTTCTCTTTAGGGTCACGGGAGGACATATACTAACCTCCTCCCGTGACCCAAAGCTCAGTATATAGCAGGCTATTGCCGGAGATATACTGAGAGCGCCGCAGCCAGGACAGATCCTGAAAATACTGTTGAAATCTACTCAGCTGGCTGATTGACTGCTGGGTGACTAAGCGTTGGGAGGATCAGCAAGAGGAGGGGGGAATCCCTGCGGGGAGCGGTGACTGAGGGTCAACGCTCTCTGCAAGGAGATTGGAAAGTGAGCGAGCGACGGTATGTGTTTGCTCACTTCCCGATCAATAGAGCCGACCTGTGACAGCTTCTTTGTCATAGGTCGGATCTAACTATGAGGATGAGTGGCAGTCACTCATCTCATAGTTCTCCTGTAAGGTACGTGAATGCATTTTTAAGATTTAACCCCTGAGTCTAGCGTCACTTTAATAAAAAACTTTAAGGGCTCTAAAGGGAACTCAACTGGGAAGCTGAAGCTATATTCTTGAGAATGATACCCATCTGTTGACTAGGACTAATAAAATATTCATCCCAGTAATAAAAGAGTAAACATTATTTGCCAAAGTAATAGTTCAGTCTGTTGTATGAAGGTGACAAGTGCATGAAACAGACTGCCACAATGACAAATATGAGGGCAGGGGTTTGTAGAAGTAAAATCAATCACATTGTTATGAAGTCAGCAAACATCTGAAAAAATGTATTGTGCGAGTTAATCCTTGTATACAGGAGATCTTCCTTCACTGACATGTCTAGTCCAGCTCCACCTTCCTGACAAATTTGTAATTGTATAGCAGGACATAAAAATCCTCAACTTTGTAAGCAGTGTTTATCGATCTTTCAGGCGGCAGTGGCTTCAGAATGATATGTTCAGATATTGGTCAGGGCAGACAATCTGTAGTTCTCTTTATGGAAAGCTTACGTAGTCAGTGTCTATATTTTCCAAAAGGACAAGCAGCAAAATCTGAACACTGCCAAACGGACAAATAAATTATTCAAAATCCTGGATAAGCTTCAGGGCACAAGGGATGTAACAGACCTTATTCACACCAACAAAGGTTCAAAATGTCTAGCTTGCTCACTTTCCAGCTAAAAATGACAGTGCAGCTTTCACCAACAGGCCTCTGTAAAAATCTGGATCTATGTTCTTTAATTGTTACACCTTTCAGCCTGACTTCTCATGAATTATTTGATTTATTTACTCGTATTCTCTCCTTATCAAAGCAGGTTACAAGACCATTATAAATCCTGCATGAGACCACTGTCTCAAGCCCAGTGCTGACAAAAACTATATTGCTGTACAGTATAACAAAGGTGCTGTCAGGATTACTTAAAAGCACACAAAAGGGTTTGTTATTTGTAGATTTATCAGCCTACAATAGCCCAGGCACTCTTGGTTATCAGACCTAAACTCAGGCTGGAGACAGGTCAGCCTCCATGAAGGCCGTACAGTCTGATATTATGTCGACATTTCTGCTCTGGCAGGAAGATAATTCAAGTGAATAATAGCACCAACACCCAGTCGTGAGAGACAAGGTGGCACTATTATAACTACTGATTCTTACAAATGGCCATTCCTGGCTGGTTCTCTTTAAAGGGAATTTGTGATAAAAGAAATATTCTTACTCCTGGCCTACAGTTATAGGAGAGTAAATCTGCAGCTATCAAGCTTCATTGCATGCAAAGGCACTGCTCCAAAGCTAGTAGGCAGCTCAGGAGTCAGAAAGTGATTTTTCTAGAAGGATTTTTCTTTGTGACAGATTCAAAGAGGCTATAACATAAAGACGATCTAATTTCTGATACAGTTTCTGATATTCTCCAAGACACACCTGCATTAATAAGGTGCGTCTTGGAGACACACCCTATTAATCTTTTTCTTGCACCCGTAAAGCACTGGCTTCCGATTGGCAACATAGAAGATAATTATGCCAAATGAAGAACCTAAAAAGATTGGCTATCATTCACCCAACTATCTAAAATAACTACCAAGTTGAACCCGAGTCGTCCCAACTCAGATTCATTCCTTTCACCATCAAAAATCAATCAGAGGCAATACAGACACCCTGATAAATAAGGTCTTATAAGAAGTTGTCAGTTTTATCATAATAAGCTTTTCCTAATCTAATTAACTTGCAGTTTACCACACGGTATTAAATAGCTCCTTTGGAAATCTATAAACAATAATCTCTTGCCTTAGACTCCATGTACACGGTTGTCAAACTTTATGAGCTTCCATGGAAAGCCATCAGTGCTATCCAGTGCTGGTACACACACCGATAGACACCCTGTACACAGTTGTGTGTCCATGTATCTGCTATAGTCCAGAGGAGTGTATACAGCAGCTGTCACACCCATCTGAGACTCATTGGAGATTTGACAGATGACTATCAAGTGGCAGACGTGTACATGGAGACTTTCAGGTTTAATAGGACAGGGATACATATAAAACCAGTGATCAAAGTACAGACTATGGAATTAATAATGTTAGTGTGCTACCAAGAGCTTTGAAAAACCAATTCATTTGAATACAAGAGCTATTGTCTTTGTATTCCTGGAACTTACATTTTTTTGAGGATTATTATTTTGCATTCAGCTAAAACCAACACTTTCCTCTTTGCCAACTATGAACAATAGCACATTTCTTTAAATTAGTCTCAAAACATCATATGTCAGATCATCACAATGGGAGCACACATGGACATCGACCATATCCTTGCACAATCTTCCTTTGAAGTGTAAGTGTAAACAAACAGCTAAGAAGCCAGCTGAAATACATATTATTAATAATGAACTGTCATCATTGTCAAAGGATTTGTAATTCTAGTCTAGACACAGTCCTCACCATTTACTGCTCTCCACTAGGTAATGCGATGCAGCTTGTTCAAGGCTGCGATTGGACAGTGAAGGGGCAGAAACTCACAGGTGATGCTATCTTTGTGTTCTCTAATCCAATTAGCAAACTCCATTTTTAGACACAGCCAGGGCTATATTTACCATAACACAGGGTAGACATGTGCCTATAGGCGGCAGAGGCAAGGAGGCAGCTACCTTCCCTTATAGTCATTGGCCATAAATGTATTTTCATCATAAGTAGAAATACAGTCATCTTATAAAAGCTAATTTACACATCATCACAATAATTCTAAACCAGTTTAGGCCTGGTAAAAAAAAGTCCTGAGTAATCCTAGCACAAGGGAGATGCTTTGGGTGCAAAAGGTTGTGTGCCTATAGGCTTCAGTGATAACAATTTGGATCTGATCACAGCACTCAGCAATGCAGTAAGCCTGCATGTTCCCCTTTCCTTTCTCGGTCTGGATCTGAACACTAATAATCAGGAGATTACAGGGGGCTAGTGCACACACAGATTATGGTTCTGATTACAAATACATTGACACATTTTTTCATAAATGCATAATTTGAATAAATATGGGTCTTTTATATCCGCCTACACTTACACTTTAAAGTGAACATGCCACCTATGAAAAAAGAACACGGTGTTAAAGAGAATATCAAAACAAGTAGAAACACTTTGACTTTTTGAATTCCCTATCCCAGGTTGTGTAACGAATATTCTGACTCTACAGTAAGGCCCCTTTCACACGGGCTGATCAGGAGAGGATCCGTGGACGAATCCTCTCCTGATCACAGCAATACAAAGTGGATGTCACCGCTGTGACATCCGTGTCCATACAGTTTTTTCAATGGAAACTGCTGGACTCCATGTTGGTCTGTGTTGGACATGTGTCTGTTTACATCAGATTACCCCCAATCCGGCACGATCTGGTCCACCGAAATGTATCTCCCATCCCTCAGTCTCTCTAAACCGACCGGAGGTGGGGGTAACAAGGTGTAAAGGGACACCCATCCAAACAGTTATTTTAAATGGTTTAACTATAATGAATTTAGTATTACATTGTAACATTACTGAATACACTGAATGACTCAAAATAAACATTTTACTTTATCTCTTTCTCTAAGCAGTGAAAGTCCAACCACTATTTCCTTGGAACATTTTGACTTTTGAATGGCGTGAATGGTTGAACCTCTGTTGGGTTTACATTGCAGTCTGTGTAACCACTGTTACCAGGACAGAAAGTGATGGAAAATCCAAAAGTTGTTTTAAAGGAAAATATTCTATTGGTAGCAACTGTTCCTATGACAAAACTGGCACAAATGATATTTCATCTCATTCCTGTTATGTCTGCTACAACACAGGAAGAAAAGAGAATTCTCCCAATGAGGCACAGATGGCAAGGCAAAAAAACAAAAACAAAAAGCCAAGGGTTCTAACCATTCCCTACTTCACCCAAAATTAGAAAAATAAGAACTGCAACAGGCTTCGGTCATGCATTTTTGGAACCAGTTGGATGCTTCAAAGCTCCTTCACAATTCAGTGACAGGTGCATCTGACCGGCAGTTTTGCATTCACATAGACTTGTATGGGAATGCAAAACTTTATGAGGCAATCAGAAGCACATTGACACAGGCCCTTTATCTGATTAACCCCTCCAAAAAAACACTATTCTATAGAATATTCTAACAATACAAAGTATGAAAAAATATACCAGAATGCAAAATTGCATTAATATGGAGGCTGAATATGAAGTAGATTAAGCTTCATGCCTAGTCTATTTATAAAACAAAATTATGAGGATAAAACACGGGATCTAATTTTAGGAGGATTGCATTTGCCCGTGTTTACCATTGCTTGTTATACTAGCCTTGTGGGATCTAAAAATGCAGATCAATGATTTTCCAGATTTGGTCATATATACTATATATCTGAAGCCAAACCTATTTAAATAAACAGACCAACTGTGCTTTATTCTGAATTGGGAATTAAGAGGTGAAATTTAGCAAAGTAAAACAAAGCAGTAACAGTGATAAAACTTACCGGACGTTGAAGAATACTTGACACTACCCGATCGTGCTCTTGTTAAAGGTTGTTTGGGCACAGGTGCTAAAGGTTTCTTGACGGGTTGATTCACCTCTGCCATAGCTGGTTTACGATTTGTATAATTGTGTTCGACACTACGTCCTGAAAAGCCCGTCCTTGGAGAAGAAACTTCAGAGTCGCTTGGAACATTAAAGGAGCCAGTCCGCTTCCTTGGCATTGCCAGGATATCAAGCCTGGAAAGTTTTTTGGATTCAGAAGAACTTTTGGCTGAGGAAGAGTTTGCAGAAGATACTTCTGGACTGTTCAACCTTTCAGCATCTGCGCTTTCATTGTCAGAAGCTTCACCTAGTCGGGCCCGCCGTAACTTAGAAGCCCGTGTAGGTCTAGGAGTTGATAGGCTGTTTGACCTGGTGAGTGCCTGCTGAATCTTTTGTGTACTTAATGAAATTCGATTTGCATCTTCCTTGGTTGACTGAGCATAAGGTCGCCTTCGTGAGAGATTCCTCGATGAAGAATGTTCATAGTCTGAGGATACAGTATCAGCTGGCATATAGGGAAGACTGGAGCTTCGTTCTTCATCTGTAAAATCAAGTGAACCCCGAGGTCCAGTGCTGCGCTTCATTTCAAATCGCTTGGTTGCATCTCTCCTGGTTCCTACATTAGTAGCTCCAGTCCTCCGTTTTTCAGAGAGTCTCTCTCTAGCAGTGGATTGACTGTAATGATCCTGTACAGAAGAAGACTTTTCCTTATGAGGGCCTACAACTCTATTTTCTTGAGGATGACTTGGCACATTCTTATCACTAACCAGACTGACGGTGCTTGCCGTATCCACATCAGAATCTCCAGATAGGGAATCATCTGGTGGGCACTGAACACTGTCAATGCCCTCGATATGATTTTGGGAAAAAAGCTTGGCTTCTAGAGCCGCCAAAGCAGTCTCTGTCTCCTTGAGAATTTGCCGCGTCTCTTGGCTGTAGTCTGTGGTGGGCTTTGTAACATTGAGATCTTTAAGCAAGGGATGGGTTGAGATCTGTGGAAGCTTATTGGGGGAAATATTACTGCTGGATTTTTCTTTGGTAAAGCTTTCCTGTCGTACAAATGAAACAGATTCTCCCGAGGATCCATTATCTTTCTTCAACAGTTGGTTAGCCATTCTCCCAGCATTTGAGGGTTCTGGTGGAAGCTGCTGGTTACTCTTTAGTTTCATCTGGACATCATGACCTTTATATTCTTTGTGCATGTCTACGACAGGTAATGTAGCATTTGCATGTGGTAAACTTCCCATTTCGTTGTCGCTACCTACATAAAAGGAAGTAGATTTTAATTCAGTAGGTGCTTTACTTTGGTCATGACTACTAAAATCATTTCTCCTCCAAACACTTCTAGATGTGTTAGGTGATGGATTAGACTTCCTACTAGATAAAACCCCATCATCAGATTTGCTAGCATCACTTAGGCTATCTGGATCCAAGTCTTCCTGTATGTTCAATAAACGGTTTTGCTCTGCTGGAGCAGTTTTCTCACCATCCTCTACCGCTATCTTTTTGGGAACTTCCAAATTGGACTCTGTCCGCACCAAAATAATCGGTGTGGGACTTTCGGATTTGTCATTGGGAGGAAGCTGAGGAAGAAGTCTCCTTGTCCTTGAGGGGAAGGAGGTGTCTCCATCACCAAGTATTTCCGCAATGTCAGTATTATGACCTAAAAAACAGAACAATGAACTGCTTAGAGAACAAGCTGTACATTTAAAAATTAATGGATGCAGATTATACAATATTTCTGAACAATAATCTGTATAAGCTTTTTCTCTTTGCTCTCTAGTCAAATGGAGCAGCAGGGAAAGTAAGTTGCTGGCAGGGCCACCATTAAAATGAACCTGTTGCTTTCGTCTGCATGAGCAAAGCAAAGGTTCACTTTAAATCTTGAGACAACCCGAGCCAAACCTAACTTCTAATACTAAATACAAACCGTCTGCTTAACACTTATCCCCACCCCCATTACTTTACCTATAAATCTAACCCCATTCCCCTAACATAACACTTCCCCATAACCTAATTACTAACACCACACAAAAACCCAATAGCAGCCTATGTATCCTATTCTGTGCATGAAGCAGTGGATGACCAAAGCTAACAATACTGCACTGAAACTAACAGGGCTCAGCTGCCAGCACTGAAAACTAATGATTCAACTGGCAGAGTTTCAAATATAGAATTTCCAAAAAAAGAGACGCGACAGCCTCCTTGTAACATGAATTTCAAGCTCATCATTGTTACAACAGAGAGGACAATCGTGTCTAAACTCTGCAGAATAGTTTAAAAAAACCAAGTTATTGCCGATTTCACTATTGACTTTCAAACTGGTACAAGCAGCAGTGTTAGAAGGGTTGTTATACACTATAAAATATAAAAAATATTTACCATTATCCACAGTTAATTCCAGCTTTTGGCCTTCTAAAGGAGAAGTTGGAGAGGCATCAGGGTAGCTGTCGGCAAGACTTGCCCACCGTGAAACCCACTTTTGTCCGCTTTTGGCATTGGAGCCAGATGATTTTGTGGTCTGCAAATATTATCAACAAAAGTTTAAATAACAAAAACACTGAATGTGCATTTATGTTACATTAAGCTCTATGTATCATTATTTTCATAAACTGGTTACTCAAACATTTTTAATAACTTTCATGAGTGAATATATCCAAGTTTTACATTTATTAGAACAAAATATATTTAAATTATATGTAAACCCAATCTTTGATCTGAATGATACTTGGTGATCCTGTTCATCTTCATATAGCAAAAGTTCATATTGGGGTGCTGCCATAGGTTCTCCTCAGCTATAAGCATCTACACCGTACCACAGAGACATTTTAGTGGACAGAAACTTTCATGGGAAAAAGTGAAAAGCCATTTACTGAATTTACATGGACATAGACATATCTTCCCTAAATTATTCTCTATGGTAACAGTACTTGCAGAATGCAAGACTCATTTATACAAATTCTCTGCGTAAAAGCTTTCCCACAGTGACAATTTTCAGTTTCATTATAGACAGTACAGCAGAAAACTGCATGTAGAGGGAGGGATCTGGAAGACAACGTGTGGTATAGGTCTTATCCGCACCAGGACAATGAGTCATAGTCCTGACTCTTATGAGGGCACATAAGTGACCCATTATTATGCTCATAAAGGATCCATTGGATCACACAGCATTGCATACATCATATAGTGTTCTCTTTGCAAGGTACAATCATGCAAAGAAGGGGTATGGCTTGGTCCCTTTAATAGGGCACAGTCATGGCAAATAGACACACTCACCTGCCCATCAGCCTGGGAACCAGTAAATGCGTTTGAAGTCTGACTTATTGACAGCTTCATAGCCTTATGATTCACATTTCTGTCCATTATAGAGGATTCCTCTTTTTCCAATTTAATGATCGGTCTGTACACTGCTGAGGAGATCATGGAATACTCCTCTGGATCAAAGATTCCAAACACCTAAATAAAAATCAATTTATAATAATGAATCCCTATTCTCTATTTTCCATTACCAATCAGCATTATACACCACACTGCTTCTTTACATGTACATGCACACACACACACACACACACACACACACACACACACGTCATTAAGAGAAAAGTAGAAATAATGTCCAATGAAGTACATAAGAGAATACTGTATTAATGATGCAAAATATTAAAAGACAAAATCCAGCCAAAATTTATTTTTTGTTTTTGATAGCACGGGGAAAGGTTTTTAATTGCCATCTATGTCCCTGACAGAGTTTCTCACTTTTTCTCCAAGCTAGCTTTTATTTTTATTACATTCTGCGACGATATTTAGCTCAATGCCTCATACAGTGGCCACACAGGAAGTCAAAGTAAATCTCCCTGATGAACTTCAGCACTTCAAATTCTGTAGCTGTGGTACTCTCACGGGCAGATTGGCAGTGATCTCCGAACAGCATTTGAAAAGGACTATGCAATGGAAAGTAGCCGTTAGAGTACTTAGTGAAAGTCCTAGTACTTGAACATTCCCTGCAATGCACAATTAAAGCCCAGTTGTACTTTGGAAAAAAAAAAATCGACCAATAAATTAGAGATAACAGTAATTGTTGAATATCATACTGTTTTTTACTTTTCAAAGTTCCTCCAGCCCCAGCAGAAAACTTTGATGCGTGTCCAGAGGCTGTAGCTAAATACCGCTGAGCAGTGATTGAGAAAAGAGGTCTTTCTACAGCAATCTAAGACCTTCAACCCCTGTCTTGTCATCACTAAACCAGTGCAATCAGCAAAGCTCATGCTTCCTGCAGACTGCAGTGATGTAGCTCTGACTGGGCAAGGGCGGTGGTCTTTAGCTGCAGTCTTCGGATCAGCATTAGAGTTTTCTTCCTAGGTGGGAGGAATCTAAAAATAAAAAATGCTCAATACTTACTGTTTTCATGCAGCTTGAGTTTATGTATACATTTTTTTTTAAAGTGCAATTGGGTTTTATTGTGGATTGCAGCTGAAAAAGTGGGACCTTCTTATAAAGAGAAGAGCAAGTATGCGAAGCTGGGAACTTAGTTTGAGATACATTAGGACATTTTGGAATTAACAAAACCCAATAAATGTTTTAAACCTACAACAGCCATCACCCTTGAAATATTAATTTTGGGTTGACTGGTTAAAGAAGCAGACTCATGTTTAAAGCTGAACTCCAGCTCTAAAAATGTGTGTATGCATATATATGTGTATATACATACACATTTACACTGGTCCAGCATGGAACATAGGGATCTTGTAATACACTGATGAAGCAGCACAGAACGCCTAGTATTCATTTACAAAAATGCTAGTGGTCCTCTGAATGGCTGCAACTGTTCCTATACCTGTAAGGTGCTGCAATACACAGTAGTACCTGCAGCACCTTAAAACACTAGTCTACTTCTCTAAACGGTCGGTCAACCCAAAATTAATATTTCAAGGATCGATGGCTGTTGAAGGTTTAAAACTTCTATTGTATTTTGTTTATTTCAGAATTTCGTAATAATAACTCTCAAACTAAATTCCCAGCTCTGTATAATTGGTCTTCGTTTTAAGAAGGCCTCAAGTTTTGAGCTGAAAACCACATTACAGCCTAATTGAACTTTTTTTTTAAAAAGGCCCTGTCAGGGATCATTAATATATACTTACATTGTGCCAAGCTAGATCAATGTAAGTATACATACATTTTAGAGTTCAGCTTTAGGATCCAAATATGATTTTGCAGCGCAAACATAGCCAATTGTATTGAAGACTGCAAACAGACTGTAGGTCTACATTGATAATAAAGAAAACCCATACAAATGGGCATACTATGGTAAAAACTTTTAAAAAGAAAAAATGATCCATTGGTAAAAGTAAAAAGTACAGATGACAAAAGGCCTGTATCATAGGACTTTTGCATTAAAACTGCTTCTCTACCCATACAAAATCAATAGGAACTCAAAAGCAGCTTGAAGGTGGTCAAAAGAAGGTCAGAAGGATTTCAACTGCCGGTAAAATGCACCTGTCAATTAACTGTGAATTAACTCAAAAGTACCTCAAACTGATATCAATTGCAAGTGAAATGTAGAATGAATCTAAAAGGTAAGCTGCATTTGTCCATTGACACAAGCCCCAAAACCCATCAACAAGGCTCAAAATATCAGAAGCTCACAGCTTTACCTCATCGATTCTTCTCCTTGCCTCTTCAACTTCTTTATCTTGATTCTCTGTATCAATTGTATATGTTCCAGCATCACTTAAGCTGTCCTCCTCTTCAGCCTTCTTGACTCTCACTGGCCTAATATCAGGTGCTGGAGGTACAGAAGGTATGACAGTGGTAGATTCAATTGGGTTGGTGGTTTGTAGCATGATAACAGATAACAAAGGCAGGCTCATAGGTGGTTCAGGCTTTTTGGCCGTCTCTGCTGCTTCTTCACGCAGGAGCTCATTGGCATATTCTTGAGCCAGCTTAGATTTCTTGCCGATGCTTCCAAAGTTCTTCAAAGGAGGTTTAGCGGTAATCGGGGTTGAGGTATTTATTCGGTCGTCAGTCTTTTCTCTTCTGAAGGAGTTAGATCTTTGAGGAAACGTAGAGGAGTTTGTCAGGGGTTTTGTAATGGATGGCGGTGGTGACGTACCATTTATGTTTGGCTTCTCTGGTGGTAAAGTCGCTTTCCGTTTATCAGTTTTCCCCTTGGAGTCGGCATCAGTTTGGGAACCATTTGCACTGTGTGTGAAGGACTGAGACCTCTTTTTTCGTGGGGCATCATCATCAAAAAATTCTATGACAAATGCCTGCTGGTTGTGTAACAACTCTTCCGGTTCCCGTTTTATCTGACGCTGAAGTTTTCCCTGATCAGCTGGGGTGGTTATAGACTCTTTTTCAGGGACTACAGGAACTACAGGCTGATCTTCTGAATCGCTTTGTGTTCCATCTTCATGTCGGTTACCTTCATTAAAAAAAAAATGTTTTTTAGCTAAACAATGGCTACAATGTAAGGTTTCAAGATCTAAATGGTAAAACCTAACACACAAAAATGTAAAGCAGAATTTAACTAAATTTTTTGAAATTTGCAGCCATCATTTAGGTTGTACAGGTTTGTTTATGTCATGCCTTTGTAAGAATGTCCAACTACAACTAATACAACCCATCTATTACTAGTGTTCTGCAGCTAAATAAGGACTTCTGCTATGAGAACAGAAATCTTGCTTTGTCTGATGGAAGGCAACCAACCGAGATAAACAAAAACAACAACAAAAAGAAGGACTGCATCTTTGTGCTGTAGTTTGCTCCTCACAATAAACAATACAAATCCCACTAAATAGCAGCTGAAGTTTTTCTGATGTTTGTTTTTCTACAGATAGGAAGACTCGGCATTAGTAAAAATATGGTCACCAAGAGAGTCTCTTACCTATGTGTAAGGGGCTGTCCAGCTATTCCTCCCCATGGTACATTTGAAACTCAGGCTGTGAAGACCCTACTCCCTTAAGATGAGACTATCCGATACTATGGCAGGTCAAAAGAACTGAGTATGCACGCATTAAACATTTTGACTGGTTGGTAACAAAGTACATGACTACCTGCTCTGCTGGTAACCAAGTTGCTTAGGGATTTGCCATGAAGCACATACAGTTATTCAAAAGCATTAATTATGCACTGAAGTGGTTCTGGGAAATACAGCCCATGGGGATATACATACAACTTCCTATGCAAAAATGCATATACCTATAGACCTCAAATAAAATTGCCTATGGCAAGCATTTAAATGCTCTTTGACCCAGAAAACTGGCATTAGTTGCTATGGGCAACAGAACCATTTTTCCCCCCTCTTAGGTTTCCATACACGAGGTTCAGAGCTTACCTTTGAGAGTTCTGCTGTGGATGGGAAGATCACTCTTAGTGCTGTATACGTCTTCTGCAGGTGATGGTCTTCTAATTAAGCTTGGGTCATTTTGAACCAACCAATCAGCCACTTTACTTTCTACGGACACCATTTCTGCTGGACCAACTTCCTTCCCAGCTGCCCTCTTCTGTCTCATGGAGAACTTTGTAACATGGTCTTTAATCTTTATTTTTCCTGGCCGGCAATCATCAAACTCAATAGTAAAAGAGGCATGGCTCTGCACGGCTGGTGGGGTCACAGTATCTGTGTCCTTGGTCGGGATTTCATGGACTTGGGTTTCTGGCGTTTTGGCTGGTTGCTGGAAGTCCTTTGTGGGAATTTCAAAATAGCTTGGCTCTCTCCTAAATGAATATAGCGATTGGTCAGAGGCGTCTCTGTACCCCATATTACAGTTCATTTCTTCTTCATGTGGAGGCATTTCCTTTGGTCGTTCTATAAATCAGTGAAAAAGGAAAATAGTGAATATAGCAACAGGCAAACCTCAATCATGTGACGATCCTAGTGCAACTTTGGCCCTGTAGATTCTGACAATTTCTTTTGCCTCTTGGGGATAGTATTGGTGATATCTGAGCTTAAGTTCCCATGTCTGTACACATGCTGTGGATGTTATGAGGGGTTCCCAATGTACCAGTTGTTCTTCAATTTATTTTACATTATGAAGGAGAGAAAGAGGAGCTGAAACACCCAATGGTAAGTTGAAACAGCAAAAGGATATGCATGGGTTTTCTGCTGCACTTAGTTCAGTATGCTGAAGCAAGCAAGCAAGCAAGTAAGCAAGCGAGGAAACCGGTCATATGATTTGACAGGCCATGTAATGGGGCTCTATCCTATCCTGGAGATTTTCCTGGAGAATTTTGCAGAGAACACGCTGTAAGGTCCACACCACAGCCTGCATTTTATGAATGAGAAGTCATATGCAGATGCAGTATTCACTGTGAAGTCATGAGGAAGGTGAAGAGCAGTATCCGCTCCTCTACCATTCATTCCTAAAGTTTGTGTTCTGGTAAATTGATACAAGCGAGACACCAAAGAAAAATGCTTAGGTAAAATATAGCATTGACAGTACTAGTACAAAACATTCCCTGGAATTTTGATGCAGGTTTTGGGTGTGCTAAAGCACACCTAAAATGCAGTGGCTTAAACCTTCACTTGCAAGTATAGCCAACACATTTTTTTCTGGATAAAGTAGAAAGGGTTAAGAACCATGTCATGTATTTATTGCTGTCTGTGTTACCATTAGGTAGAGTCACCCTCTCCATTATTTATTCAAAATGCAAAAGGAAAGGTTTGGGCTTTTGGGGTAAGCATGTCCTGGATTTGCACACGGGAAAAAAGTTGACTGACAGAACAAATTGGATGCCTCACTAAGCATAGATAATGGACTGACTAGAAAAGGCTTACTTACCTGAAAAATGGTCTTCTGGCCTCCTTCCCTCGTGTTTCTCAAGCATGTTATTTGCATCATCTTCTCCCCACCAAGATGGCTGACCGTAGAGCGGTGTGCGATATATTGAAGCTTCTGTAAAAACAAAAAACACTCCCATTAACAGCTTATAAGACAAAAAAAAAAACTTTGTTCAATACAGCACTCTAACCTGGCCTTTCACAAGCCCATGTGCAATAAAGTGGTAACGCCGGTGCTGAAAAGCATCTTCCAATTACATGGCACAACTTACTGGCGGAGGCCCAATCAAAATTCTCCATAACAGAACTCTGGTGTTTCAGGCCTGTGTATACAACACTGTCAGGTTTACACAAAACAGGAACATTGGGAGTTCAAAGCCAAGCAGATTCCCGTAGAAGGCTGCTAGAACAATACATGCAAATGGATGAGCAAAGAGAATGCAAATAAATAGAGGACAGCAATGGCGGCGAATGAGTTAACACATACCACCAGGGGGTTTCTTCTCCACCTTTTCCTGTTTCCCTGGCGACGGGTCTATGTGAGAAGGCTGTTCTTTAAGATGCTCTATCCTCACAGTCTTCAAATTCATCTGGAGTTGGCTGGTGTATTTCTCATGCTGAAAAAAAGAAGAAATCATAGAGGGAACTTCTTCAAAAAGTTAAAGATCAACACCTATTTTGAGCTTGTTGGGTCCTGGGAGCCACCGATGCTTAGGACTCCATTCCTAAATAGCCATAATGGATATAACACCACTTTGTGTGCATGGAATACCATTGAAACCCAGGTATTACCTTGTATAAGTAGCAGTGACATATCACAATGCTCACATAGTCTGAGCAGAGCTATGAGAGGGACCCAGCAGGCCTCACTCACTAAAGGCTGCCTGCAGGAAACTATAGGAGGGGCAGAAACAAGACCAGTCACTCTGTACGAGGAGAGAGCAGCAGTGGTCTTTACTACAGGAAGTTCCTGCACAGAGGCAAATATCAAAAGCTGCTCCATGCTAGATAACTAGATAACTGCACATATTTTGAAGAAATATACAAAGGACACCAAGATTCAAGTAAGCATATGTATGATATATATAACAATATCGGACTATCCCAGAGTTTAGCTTTACTGTGACATATACATAAAACTTTGGAATCAGGAGGCAAGAAACCATTTTGTGAGGGGGACCAGAGATATAAACTACAGCAGGAAAATCTTGACAAATTGAGTCTCTGTCAATCAATAGGTTCCCACTCAAATATTAGTTTTGAGTGAAGTTAATCTTTAACATACGACATTCCCCATGCCAAACATGCCATACAAGTTGTACTGGGTCTTTCATTTAAACAAAAACCCAATTACATTTTGCTGATCATTGCTGTAGCTCCATTTTTTTCTTTTGACTCAAAAGGGAAAGGTAAGACCCTCGGTTTTATTTTTACCGGAGGAATTTCCTCTCACTTCCTATACCAGAGACCCCAAAGGAACTGTAAAAATCTCCCCAACATAATACAGACAAGAAAAATCAGAGTGGTTCTAAAACTTTCCCCTCAAGTGCTTTTATTGAGCTCTACACTTCCTTACTTCCTTAGAGGGATTTCCCTGGTGACCATACAGGATGTGAGGGTAACCTCCACAAGAGAAAGGGAAACAGCAATAGGAACCTAACAGAATCTCCAACTATAATCTATTAAAACAAAAAAAATAGGTTTCGGCTGGAGTGTCACTTTGAATTTACAATTATTAGGTGCTATTGTCGATTACAGATTATCTCATGCTTTAAACATAAAACTTTGAAATGCGTACAGCTTTCCTCATTTGTAAATTATAGGGAATACAATCTTTCCTTCTTTGTTTAGATTAAAAATAAAATGTCTACAGGATCATGGAGCCATTATCAACCATCAACTTCTGCCCCCAGGTGGTGGGAACAACAGGTCAAACATTTGTATTAAAGGGATTCTGTCATGAGCGTTTATCGAGGCTGCCATTACTGAAGTCTATTTTGAGTGAGCTAGCTCAATGGATCTGGCTGTTACACAAATGCTATGGCTTCAATGCTGTAGGAGCAGCAAACACAGAAAAGGTATGGCAAAAAAAGAAGCTCTGCTACTTTTCTGACACATTTACCAGCTTGTTTAAAAGGAGGCACATTGGCATACACCATACTTCTCTCAAGACAGAGTCACTTTAACAAAATTACAAATTAAAAAGAGAAGCATCATGGGAAATTGTAGGCTAATATGCAATGATGGTATCACAGTAGATATCGATTAACAGACTAAAAGAACTAACCTTTAATGCTTCCTCTGGAACCTTATGCTGAATATGCTCCAACACATACATATTAATATGTACACAAACCGATAAGGAAATAAAGAACATTACAGTGACTATTTTACATTCACAGATCAACTCCCTGTATTGTCCTCAAGAAGGATGAATGCAGAAGAGTTTTATACAGCATGTATGAGTAGAACTCAGAGGGGGCCTCCAACATTTAGCGATGTAGGAATAGTTTTTCCTTCTATGCATTATATATTGGGGTGTGAAACTTCTATTGTCTCCATATCTTCATTTGCAATGTACGCCTACTAATGTTAACCATCCATTTTAGTCATATAGGAATTCATTTATTATATTGCAAATGTAGCAACATAAAGTGAAATCACTTGTGCCAAGCAAAATGGCCAAAGCAGAATGTGTGAAAAATTATAACCATTTCTGTGAATAATCATATAAAAAAATAATTTTCTTCTACATGTGGCTGCTGCTTCTTGACATTATGACATCGTTTTTCCATTGCAGCTAAGGGAAATAAATTCCAAGTGAGGATTTATTAACTTACAGGGAACATCTAAAAATGTTAAAAGGTGGAAATTCACCCTAGAATTACTTAATATTAAATGACCATACAGCACATCTAACCTTATAAAAATACATAGCACCGGGGGGCGTGGCGAGCTGCCGACCAAGATGGCCGCTGGTTGAGTGAGCTCCGCTCCACCGATCCCCTGGAAAGCAGACAAAAGCCACCATAAGCCTACCTGTCCGACCATCCAGCCACCGGAACCCCCGGACACAACACTCGTCCACACGCGGAGCGTGATGCGGCGATCCAGGAGGCGGAAAGAGCCGCGATTCACACGCAGCCGACGGGGACCCAAGATGGCGGACGTATCTCAGCACGAGGAACCGCGGGCCTCTCCGACTCCCACACCTGAGGTATTTGATTCCTCATCCCTCGATAGCATGCCCCTGACCCCAGCAGACGACCCAGTGAGTGTCAGGGACATGGCCTTATTGGATAAATTCCGCACGATGCTGCAAACTGAGCTAACTCTGGCAACTGACAAGCTGGCTGCAGTGTTATCGTAGCAACATGATTGACTTCTGCCCACGCTTCGGTTGTCCAGTAATCAGCATTGGAGGTGACCTCATGCAACTCATGGCGTCACTCAGCACAGAGGAAAGGTGTCCAAGCAGTTTGAAGGCAGGTTTTATAATCACAAGATGTTGATAGCATGAAGGACACAGAGCGGCAGTTTCCAAGTTGATTGCTAGACAACCGGTGTGTGGACAGACGTCAAACATCGTGCTATGTATTTATCAAGGGTCACGAGTTATATTGCTGTTTAATGTTCCTAGAGTAATTCTGGGATGAACTTCCACATTATTTGTGTCTAAGCAGTACCCTAAAAGATTTACCTTTTGTCTTGAGATGCCCCTGAAAAATAGCAATGCACTACTGTGCCATGAGTCTAAAAGGAGAAGTATGAGGTGAGTGAAAATCACTCAACCTCATAGTTCGAGCCGACGTGTGACAATGAAACTCTCACACGTCGGCTCAATAGATCAGTAAGTGAGCGGACACATACCGTCCCTCGCTCACTTCTTGATCATCTCCCTGCAGAGAGCCGTGACTGTCAGTCACCTCTCCCCACAGGGATTCCCCCCCCTTGCCCTTTCCGATCCTCTAACACTGACTGGAGGAACGGGCGAGAAAGGGCCGGGTACAGCTGACATGAGGAAGCAAATTTCTGCCTTCACCAAAATGGCCACCTCAACACAGAGACCCAGTACAGAACAAGGCATGATATCAGAGCAGCTCACCAGCTGGGAGACCGTAAGCAATTCTGGTGACTAGTCCTTTGCCTGATTCTTGTATCAAATATAAAAAAATAGTTATTTTAGAAGTAGAAAAAGATAAGAGATCTCCCATAATTCAATGCCGAGAGCCTAAGTGGCCAATCGTCAGTCTACAATGCTGCCAAATGGGACCAGGGTAGAATGTGCTTTGCTCTCTGCAAGCTTGCATAGAAATTCCATGGACTTTGGCCACGAATCAAGACAGCAGCAAAACACACTTAACCTAAGTGCAGAAGCATTCGGCTTACTTTAGTTTTTCTTTTTTTCTCCACACAGGTTAATTTTAAAGATATTAGGAACTAGCAGAACTCGCATCACAAACTCAGCACGCATTATAAAACAAGGAAATCACTCTGAATATGACCCATTATTTCTTTGTCTATAGTGCAGTTCATATCCAGTTCATTTGATATCATCAGCTTGATTTTGGGGTGTATTCTCCTTTAACAATTTAGCAGTTAATTACTAGTTAAACGATCTGGGGCATTGTATTCACACAGGTCTTTTCTGCATTCCTTTAAATGTACTAAACAGACCATAAACCAGTAAATTCACCACCTGACTCCCAGGGATTGAGAGACTAATCTGCTTTTCATGTGACCTCAGTATGTCATTGCACAATCAGCATGCCACCAGGAAGAAACCTTCTGCCAGTACAGCAGTTATAAAGGATATCGTAGCCAAACCGTATAACGTCGTTCAGTTTAAGGGTGATGTATTTCTGATCGGGGATCCTCACATCATTCACAAAAGTCTGCAGGGAAAAAAGTAGATGATAAATAAATAAAGTCTTACAGACTTCTTATGCAAGGCAAGCAATAAAAAAGCAATTTCAGACTTTTGGGGAGACATCATTGGACACATTGAAAGCTGAGATGGCCAGCCAGTAGGGACATGGGATTGGGTTTGCTATAATTGCAGCTTAAAGGATAAGTGTATTTTTTACCATCTATCTCAGATCTCAAACGGTTAAAGCATTACTGTATAAGGAAAGTAGTAACTCCAATTATGTACCTGTAACAAGGGGAACTCCTGTATCTGGACTGTTCGGACTTGCACAGTTGTTGTAGTTACATAAATGATTAGTCCTGTAGCAGTACCGCCGGCACACCTCTAGTGTGTAGTGAGAAGACAGGGAGGCAGGCTCTATGTTGGAATAGTCCTTTTTCACTGGATGACAACCTGACACAGTGCCCGCCTAATTCCCGAAGCTGGCCAGTAGCAACAGTCACAAGTGATGGCTGCATTAAGGAGATAGCTCAGACTACGTATGTAGTAAGAAAGGCTTTGTATTTACGTATTGACTCCTGATGGCTAAGAATTAACCTGTACCTTGCCTAAGCAATCTGGTTTGCTTACTGTAGGCAATGGAAGCATTCAATACTTACATTCTCCATACTACCCAAGAACCCTGATTTGCCACCTGAACCCGTAAAGACTTGTGAAACTTTCAACCTTCTGAGAAATTAATAATGTACACAGAACTATGCACTCCCCTTCTTCATGACAAAACTCAGGAGTAGACCTTAACCACTCAGGCACAGACTTCTGCATTGTGGGCGAAATGGAGGGGAATGTTTTGTGTTCCTCCATACCCACAAGTAGCTATTATTTCTTAGGGCTTGGGCAGCAGACTTCATCGGCTGAGAAGCATGGGGAAAGCACGTCCTGACTGCATACAGGGCATCCTGTAAAGTGATCTTGTTCATTTGTTGAGTATGTGCAAACTACAAATTTATTTTTCCATTCAAGATCCAGGAACTTTTGAAAAATTAAATTTTTCCCATAAAAACAATTTTTTTAATGACTTTCAGGTATAGCAGCTTGTGCATTTATATGATTGAGTAGAGATTTTACGGGATGTGCTAATACAGCCAAAATGATTTGGTATTTTAATGGCTAATAGAATGCAGCTTACATGTTTGCAGAGATACTTCTTTCAGTAGAAAACATTTTGCTAGTTACTGTAAAGGCTGCTATATCTTGTATACTGGCTCAGCGTACCGTATGGCTCCCCTTGTGGTGTCACTAGGGTTTATAATAATAGGACTTGGCCATCTTTGGGGCCTCCATTGGTGAGATGCCACTTCCAGAGATCCAACATTGGAGTTCCAAGCTTTATTTAGTTTACATCATAAATCTTCTCTTATAATTGGCAGTATAATCGCCTATATGGTACCACATCCAAATGTTAGTATTCACATTGTTATCTTACTTGAAGGATGTTAAGGGTATATGTTATTTTTGTATGTGTGTATTCTGAGGTACCTTAAAAGTCTGATACAAACAAATTTAAATTGATCCCTACTTTACATCATAGAGGCTATAGCAGAAGGGAGGGGTCCTCAGGGAGTCTGAGATCCCCTGTAGTGGATGCAACTCATAGGTGGAGCTGGGAACTTGAGGGCTACAGCCACTGAGATAAGAAAAAGGTCACCAACAATTCAGCCCATCTGAAAAGCAGATTTTAGTGGACCGAACCTTTAGCCTGTATAAACATACAAAAAATACTAGTCATGTAGAAACCCTGAAAACATAATTTAAATAGCAACATACAAGTATTGCAGTACAAGCTGGGACCACTCATCGGCTTGCATTCTGAGCAGCTGCTCAACAATAAATACATGAAATCTCCAGATGGCTTTTCTTTAAAAAGACCGAGATTAGTGCTCCTATTTTAATGAACACGTGTAACTCAAGATGTGTGTATGAGGGCTCAGGTCTCCATGGCACTTTATACACTTGCTAGCTATACTAGCTATACTGGCTGCAGAAGATGAGTGAACGTTTCTCGAATGAAAAGTTTTAAGCCTAAAGTAAGTTGTACACTTCAAACATCCAACTCTGAGCAAAAAGTTCTAGTTTTTAAAATTACCCTGCAGGCGATTGGATGCTTGACAAACGCACTGTGGGTTATTTTGTCAATTTAGTTAGTGCAAACCCAGTATGCCGGAGTTTGGCCAAGCCTGCACAAGATTATGAACAACTTCCTCCCACCCAACAGTTTTGGCAGAGACGGCAGGGGGATTTCATGCCCAGTATTGGTTTCATTACTGCAAGACTCATCACGTTATGCCAGGGGTGAGACAGGTATAGTAGTTTCTTCAAGACAGGTAAGTATTAGGCAAGTCTTGTTTGTACATATTTATGATGTGTGGGGGAGAGGATGGCTAATAAGGTCTGTATTACTACAAGGTGATGGGTTGACTTTATTCTGTCCTCATACAGGCTTACCATAAAGAGGATTTGTTACTTTTCCCATTGTCTCTTCCTCCCAGGGTGCTGTGCTTAGGCCTGGGTGGCAAATGACCAGACCCGATCACTGATACTTGGGAGGAAGCTGGTAAATAAATTATGAAGGCTCCACAGAGTTTAGACTCAATGCTCTGACAGACTGGGTTGAAGGGGGGTAAGCTTTTAAGAAAATGGCCGGGCAGCACAGTGGCTTAGTAGTTAGCACTTCACTGGGAGGTCCCTGGTTCAAATCCTGGTCAGGACACTAACTGCATTGAGTTTGCATGTTCTCCTTGCGCTTGCATGGGTTTTCTCCAGGTACACCAGTTTTCTCCCACACGCTAAAGACATGCTGAAAGATTAATTGGCTTCTGTCTAAATCAGCCCTGTGTGCATGTAGGATAAAGACCTTAGATTTTAAGCTCCTTGAGGGCAGGGACTTGTGAATGGGCAGTTTGCAAAGCACTGTGTAATTTGTTGGCGCTATATAAAAATACTTCAAATAAATAATGGTCAAGGTGAGATATTTCCTTTAGCTACTGCTGCAAATCCAAATGATCTTTCTTGGTACCCCAGCAGAATATCCCATTTCTAGCAACATTCCACTTTAGGAGATACAAAACTGAAATCTAAAATGTGAAGTCTGAATCCAAATTGCATCCATTCATCCAGCCTTTATGATCATAGAAAGCATATTCATACATAGACATCGGCACTTACTCCATTTAAGCTCCCGAGATCTTTCACGCGGTGCTCATCTTTCTCACTGTCGTAGTTGATGACGGCATGCTGCTTATCCACACTGCGGGACTGAAAAAACACACAGATCTATAATTCATCTGATGCTGTCAGAAAAACACAGACAGTCATGCCGTACACAGAACTACATGTCTATGTCTGGTTTACTAGTGTAACACTTATTGAACCCGAGCTGCGCCTTCTTGCACAATGCCCAAAATATTTCTTTTGAAACGAGTTCTGTAATCTCATTATTCCAAGTGAATGAACAGAGACAACTGAGCATTACAAGGCATTTTGGAGAATCTAAATGATGCATACCACGAGTGGAAGAATGCCATAGTTATACAACTAAAGCTCTACAAACAGTCTAGGGGGGACTTGGGGTCAATTTACAATGCTTAAAGAGACCCAGTGGGTTTTTTTTGTTTCAAAAACCGCTGTTACCGGTTTTAAAAAAAAGAAAAAAAAGACAGTAAATACATTTCTCTGTGCCCTGGTGCCAAACACCACCCTGATCACTAATACCCGCCCCTTAAGTCTGCTGGGAAACTGACAATCCCAGGACTGTTGATCTCTTGGGCCCCACGCAAAAATAGCCCAAAGTGAAAGGCCCCATGGTAAACAAATTTAGTATGATTTGAGGGCATGTAAAGGAACTTCAATAGAACTGTGGCCAGGCTACACTGAACACTGTAGCTGCAGGCACTGAGGAGCAATGCATCCTCAAATATTCAGTACAAAGTACTTTTAGTTTCATTTCAGCAGCTCAGCTGTTACCCCCTCCTAGCAGTGATTCGGTAGCCTGATAAACTATAAAGTAACATTGTCACTTGGGATGCACCGATACCAAGTATGAGTACTGATATTTATCATTTTGTTGCTCGCCGATACCGGTAGCAACAGCTTCCCAGGCAATCAGGAAGCCGGGCAGCAAGTAATTACCTGCCGCCCCGCTTCTTGATTGCCCGGGAAGTAAGCTCCATGCTGTTTGGACTGCATGTTCCAGTATCAGGGGTAAGTATCGGAGCAGACTAGTATGGGTGCATCCCTAATTGTCACTTAATCCATGCAAGGCATTCAACTTGAAAGGGCTTCCCCGCGGTTCCTTTTTTCTCCCACTGCATAAGCAACATGACAGTGTCTTTTTAAATCTCTGCAGAGGAAGAGGGGACCTCAGGGTACCGAAACCTAACTGGAATGACTCCAGTGCTTCTGCAGTGAACTCTAAGGATAAAACACTCCACAGTATCTGCAGCTACAGGGGTTATTAAGAGCTTGTTTTGCTGCTTAAGAATATGTAAATATATATGCACATCTCCATAACCTGGGCACAGTTCTACTTTAATTACCGAGAAGGTCCTTTATTGGGGAGCTATTTATACAAAGCCTAGTATTTGGATTTAAAGGAAACTTATACTAAGGGTTATGTTGCGGTTAGTTCCGTGGCAGTCCTGAAGGCAGTTGCTGGTGTTTAGGTTTCAGTATTGTGCATATTCACCAGAATCCAGAAACGACCCAAAAAAGTTCTAACCTTTGTAGTGACTTCATTTTCAATATTTTTTTATTTATTTTTACAAACAACACACATAGGCTGCCATTGCTAAACTCTTCTTCTGAAAGTACCGGTACTTGTCGTCTGGTTGTTATGCTGACACAACTTGAAACAAGTTTGCAGGTTATGAGTTCTGACTTTCCTCGTACTTTCCTTACTGCATGTTTGTAACAGGTCAGTGAATATACTGAGGCCAAGCAAATCACATTTTAGGAAGCAATGGCAATGGCTATACTCCTGTCAGGACCCCTTAAGCAGCAAGTTAATGTAACTTATTGAAGGTATACATTAGTCATTTTAACTCAGGATACTACATTAAATTTTAATCAGCATTACACTTTACCAAAATGAGCTTAGAGTTTGTCAGCATAAAATGTACAAAGATC